GCATAAAGTTAATGTTCATGAGTCGTTTAAACTTATTATAAAATGTGTGTGTGTGGAGGGGGGATGTATGCTAAAGTTTGCGTAGGCCCAAGTTTAAACCAAAACAAATCATCAAGTGTTGGTTTGCAGGGATTTGATTGGCTATAGGTTTCATAACGAGCTGATATCAGTTAGAGAACCATTGGAAAACCTGGGAGTACTGGAATACTGTTTCGTCTTAGTTTGGGACTCTTCATCAATACGAATCCATTGGATAGGGTTCCAGTGGCTTAATGGTCTACGAGTTCGCCTAGTAACGAGGAGATCCTGGATTCGAACCCCGATGGGTGCGTACCGTCGAAGAACTCCAAACTACGATAAAGCAGAAGTCCATTAGTCCCAGGTTTTCAAGTGGTCCCCCAACCGATGTCAGCTTGCGATCATCTCTGTTACCAAAACAAATCAATTTGTTATCAAGTTAAACCTTCTACGGTAAATTTTGTTTTGATAACAGGATAGATGTAATGTTATCTCTCCCTTGGTTGGTTCATTGATCTCCATTACTATTTTAACCTTCAATACAGACCTATAAGTACAGTCTATGCAGCTACCACCATAGAAACAAACGAAATGATAAATACACTCTGAAGAAGTGATGCTTGGTAATTTATACGTGCTTTAGTGTGAGTACTGGTTTGGATGAGAAACTGGAGATCAGGCTTTAAGATATTAATTCGTTTTCCTGTCCACGGTATTCTTCCCTTCCTGTGTGGAAGTGTGCTCTCTCATATAGTCGCTTAGATAACCAAATAATTGCAACGTCCTCTTCAACTTTTCCATTTCTTCCTCGAAACAACTGTCAGAACATCGAATATCAAAGCGAACGTGGCGTGTGCTACGGACAAGATTTATAAAGGCAGTATATGGATGTACATTGATGGAAGGTGTGCAAAATTGAAATCGACAAATTAAGCCAATGCCTGTAGAAGTAGAAATGTTTATTCTTGACCTAAAGGCGGCATTCGATTCTGTCGACTGAGAGGTTCTCTGGCGATGCTTGGCTGTAAAAGGAATGCCGAGAAAGTACATTGCACTGATTAAGGCACTCTACTCGTACTCATTCAGCCAGGTGAGGGCCTATGGCGAGTTGTCATCTGAAGTGGTGACGACTAGTGGCGTCCGTCAAGGGTGCCCATTATCCCCATTCCTATTCAACTTCATCATAGACGTACTAATAGACTTAACCCTAACACACTTCAGAGACTCAGGGATTGACTTGTTACCAGGGAATAATCTCGTTGACTTAGAATATGCGGACGATATAGTCCTTCTAGGCAAGGACGCTGAAAAATTGCAGAGTCTTCTGAACACCTTGAGCAACAATCTTCGTATGTTTGGCATGCGATTCGCCCCTGTAAAATATAAGATGATGCTGCAGGATTGGACTACACCGACTCCTAGATTAGAAATAGGAAGTGAAGTGGTAGAGCACGTTGACCGCTTCACTTACTTGGGAAGTACCATCAACCCCGACGGGTTGATCTCCGACGAAATCTCAGCACGAATACAGAGGGCTAGTTTCTCATATGCCAGTTTACGCCGTCTCTGGCGTAGACTTGATATCCGACTATCGACCAAAGGGCGTGTGTACTGCTCAACAGTCCACTCCGTCCTCCTTTATGGTTGTGAGACCTGGCCATTGGGAGCAGAAGACATGAAAAGATTTTTTTGATTGCACACTAGTCAGTAACTACTGTAATGCGTCTAGTCTTATCTTTGGTGCAGACTGAATTCTATCAGTCAACCATCTAATACCAACAATTCACAGTGCACCGTAATGGCGAGCCACCTAGCATGGTGGCCACATTGCAAACATGACTGATAGAATTCAGTCTGCACCGAAGATAGGACTAGACGCATTACACTAGTTACTGACTAGTGTGCAATCAAAAATATCCAATACAGTCCTACAGGAAGTCAGACGCGAGCCTGAATAGCTCAGTGGTAACGTCTCTGACTGCAGCACCGGGTGACGCGGGTTCGAATCTCAGAAGGGACATCAGTTCCTTCAAGGTTGCAGATACGCCTTGCTGATGAGTGCCAACTAGCACGAAACCTAGGTCCAAGGCTTCCTGCCGATTGCCTCCAACCATCTAATACATGAAAAGATTAGCTGTGTTCGATCATAGGTGTCTGCGTTCTATCTCCCGTGTGAAGAGGTATAATAAGGTGAGCAATATTGAGGTTAGGCGTCGAGTGCTAGGTAAGGGGGGGAAATCAATCAACGAGGCTGTGAAGTTACATCGACTGAGATGGTTAGGACATGCGTTACGTATGCCTTGTCATCGCCTTCCTCGACAATGGGCAATGTTAGCTGATATAGGGCCAGGCTGGAAAACAGCTAGCGGCGGTCAAACGAAAACATGGCACCAGCCAATGAAATCCACAACAGTTAGTCTAAGCCACGTAGGAAGGTGTAGACTTCCTGGTTGGGGTCCTCAGGACGGTAAAAACTAATGGTTAGAAACAATTGGTGATATGGCTCAAAATCGTTCTCAGTGGGGCAGATGCATCCACTCCTTGTGACTTATGATTTCCAATGAAACTGTTTTGTTCTCCGTTATTACTATTCCTTTGTCTCACACCTCTGTTTACTGTCTCTAGGATGCATTTCTTCTACTTTCTTCTCTTGCTTTGTGTGCTACATGGAGTGTGGTGACTTGAACTGCTGCACATCGGTGCAAAGTTCAATGTCGAATACCGACCGACCGACCTTCAAATCTGGATCTAGTTTACGTTGTGGACATGAAATAACCCCACTACTGGGCAACGTTTCGTCTCATTGTTTAACCTTGTGCCAATTGGAAACACTTAGTTCCCCATACAAATTTAAAACAAGCAACAAAGGTTAATAAAACAGGATTTAATGAATTCATCCAATGTCTGTAGAACTCCTCAGCTGAATACTCTATATGCAGGGATATATATATATATATAAACTACTAGAATTACATTTGGGGGGGGGGGGAATTTAAGACTAATAAGTAATCAAACTACAGTGGACCAATCATACAAAACGATAGGTGTGAATGTTTTTCAGGTCATGTTCAAATTGATAAGGGGAAAGGAGTAAGGCACTAAAATTGAGATAAAGTGCACCTCACAACAATTACACACCACTTAAATAAACAATTAATTATCAGAGAACGAACTTCAATATATCAAGAGTTGCGAACTGAATGATACTGATAATAATACTGATGGTAATAATAGTATCAATAATAATCATAATAATAATAGTAAAACGAGTTAAGATAATGGTACTGATAAAGGATGGTTTTAAATGAATCAGGAATAATAATAACAATAAGACGTAGAATAAAATATTACACCAGTCAGAACAATTTGTTGTCTGTTGACCTAGCCAAATTTTAATGTGGCTAGAAACCTATATGTATTGTGACGGTAGAAGACGAGAGACTCGGTAAAGGAACGTTTATTTGGAATTAGGTACCTCTATATATAGCGAAATTAAGTACACCTTTATAGCCTCGTCGATTGATTTTCCTTCTTTGCCCAACACTCTACGCCGCCTAACGTTAACATTACTTACCTTATTATGCCACCTAACGTGAGAAAGAGATCGTAGACATCTATGATCAAAAACAGTCAACTTTTTCATGTCTTCAACTCGTATTGGCCATGTTTCAGAGCCATAGAGAAGGACGGAGCGAACTACTGAGCAGTACACACGTCCCTTGATTGATAGCCGGATGTCACGCCTACGCCAGAGATGGTGTAAGTTAGCGAAAGCAGCCCGAGCTTTTTGGTTTCGTGCTGAGATTTCGTCACCAATCAATCCATTGGTGCTGATACAACTTCCCAAATAGGTGAAGTGGTCAACATGTTCTATCACTTCACTCCCTATCACTAAGCTAGGGGTGGACGTAGTCCAGTCCTGTAGCAGCATCTTACATTTTACAGGGGCGAATCGCATGCCAAACATACAAAGATTGCTGCTCCAGATGTTCAGAAGACTCTGCATTTTGTCAGCGTCCTCCCCTAACAGGACTATGTCGTCTACGTATTCTAAGTCTATAAGACTATTCCCTGGTAACAAGTCGATTCCTAAGTCGTTAAGTTCAGTTAAGGATACTTCCATTAGCATATCTATGATGAAGTTAAACAGAAAAGGGGAAAGTGGATATCCCTGACGGACACCACTGGTTGTTATCAATTCAGATGACAATTCCCCATAAGCCCTTACACAGCTACGTGAGTTTGAGTAGAGTGCCTTGATTAGTGCAATGTACTTTCTTGGCACTCCCTTCACAGTCAAACATTGCCATAGAACCTCTCGATCCACGGAGTCGAAGGCCGCCTTCAAGTCAAGAAATATGGCAATTGTTGGACGCCGAAAAGTGTGTCTATCTTCTAGGATCTGTCGGAGAGTGAAGATATGATCTATGCACCCTCTACCTGGCCTAAAGCCAGCTTGATTTTCCCTCGTTTGTTCCTCCCGAGTTCGGCTTAGTCTGTGCATGATTAATGAGCCTAGGATTTTAGAGACTATGTTCGTCAAGCTGATCCCTCTATGACTATCACATGAGGACTTGTCTCCTTTCTTGAATATTGGTATAATAAGTGACTTACCCCAGTCTGATGGGACCGTCTCTGATTCCCAGACGTTACCTAGTACCTTAGTTAAACTATATACTAGTACGTGACCTCCATATTTAAACACTTCCGGAATAATTCCGTCGAGTCCTGCCGCTTTGCCTCGTTTGCCTCTAATTGGAATATTTTCAATATTTCGACTTGAATTCTTCATATTCTGAATGATTAACGGCGAACCACTAAAGGGTATTTACATAAAAGAATCTAGGGACGCAAAACTGACAGTCTTAGTCAGTGGTAATTCCTACATTATAACCACTGAACTAGTGCACATATTAATAAGTAAACTCGTTCTTTGGATGGAATGATAACAACTTACACAAAAATAATAACAAAGAACATACTTGAATTACTACACGAATTGAACTGCACAATCCTCCATCAGAACTAAGAGTGCACAAAGCTACCGGATACATACCACAACCTGAACTAGGCTGTTTCACAGAGAAGCCAAGACGTGAATACCAGGTTACAGGTCGTGTAGAATTTCCATGTAGCTTTAATGACATTCCAACAGCTGAACCATGATCTCCGTACAGATGTCTGAATTCATCATGCGATGATGCATCAGCAGAAGAATACTTCCGTTTGGTTCGACTATTATTACCACCTGACGGGTTGGTTATAATTAATTCAGCATTCGCTGTAACAAGCTTGGAACCAACACGAATTTTTCCAGATTTAATTAGAGCGGTTAACATTGGATCGGGATTCCATGATATTTGATACCAACCGTCTGTTAAGCAAGCCTTGTATTTTAAAAATAACAGTATCGATGAATTTTTAAGTGACTGGAATTCATATATAAAAAGCATTTAAACTAATTGCCTATTGAGACAAAGCTACACGATTTACAGTACTCGAAAAGGTGACGAAGTCATTAACGTTTTCTTTTTATTTCTTCACGTTCCCCAGTGGAACATAGGGCTTCAAGCTAGTGGCTTGGAGTTTCTGTAGCAGTGCTTATTTTACAGGATGGGGTTGCTAGCCTCATGCCCAACCTTTCCTCTTCACCAGCGTTATTTCTCGCTTAGCGAGGTAAAGGAGTGCGTCGGCCGGGACCATGTGCATGGTCGGCGAGCGTCCTAACCACTATGCCACCGACGCACACATTAACGTCATTAACGTACTCTTTATCAACTGCACATACTGACGACACTAGTTGGATGAAATCTAGTCTCTTTGAGTGCCCAATCTTTTCGTCGTTACAGTGTAGATTCCATCTTCGTGCCAAAAAGTGACATACATGAATGTATTGACCATAACCATATTGTAACGACAGAAGACAAGGGTCAGGCAACAGATCGTTTATTGAGAAAATCAAGAGATATTTATAGATTTTTATGTGCATTATTAATAGTGTTATTGTTAGCGGAGAAGCAACCTCTTCTGATTGGTTATTCTGTTATCTCTTTGTAGCCGTTTCTCAGAAAGTTAAGCCACATATCTGCGAGTCATATTTCCCCACGTTAGCTCCGCTGTGATTGGTTGGTGATTTTCTCAAGGTTAAGCTTTGTTATTGTTTTTCTCGTGACGCTGATTAGGGACGTGAACATTGACGTAAATTGTTGCCTACAATTTCGGCTTGCAGCCAGCTCTCCCCACAAAATATCATAAATTGTAAATACCCAACTTAGAAACTTCGTTTTTGAAATTCTCATTCCTCATTCCCATTTCTCGTAGGAATGTTACAACTTTTCATATGTCCGGGACAGATGTTGAATCATTCCTATTACACGTATTCTCAATTGATTCGATAAATAAAACTTCAGATAACAACCTCTCCCTCAATCCTGTTACATTTGATTTTAGAACTCCGGAACCAGAAGCAGGATTCTTACAAAAACAGGAATAAAAGTGCCAGTAAAACTCCCAAACTCATTTAGACACAAATAAAGTCGGATAAGGGATGCTGCAGAGCCCAAGAAACAAAATAATTTAGTTTATCTGACGCTGAAATGATTGTGAGATTTAGATACATAGACCAAAGTAGTAGGCCAGGGTCAATTCGATTAGCAGAACGCTAAAACCTAGTGGAATCTAGACTAGTAGGCCTAGAAAAAACTCAGCTATAGCATCATACACAACCATACAATAGGATGGAAAATATGATAGTCTTAAAATCGCCTTTGACAAGATTGAGGGAGGGATTTATACCTGAAGCTTTGTTTATCGAATCAACCGAGAATGTGTGTAACTGGGAATAATTCAACGCCTGTTCCGGACACCTCAAAAATTGTAACATCCCTAGGAGAAATGGGAAGGAAAAACGAGAATTTTAAAAGCCAAGTTTCGAAGTTGCGTATTTACAACTGATGATATGATCATGAATGATAATTTTATGTTGGAAACGTCATCCAATTAGTAATACTATTTCATTACATAAAATAAATGTATATTTAAGCTATTTGGTGGTTGGTGACTAACAATGGAATCCAGGATACGCATTTCGTCCTATTCAGGTTTCATCATCTAGGTGTGCCTGAAATCCAAGGGATCGGCGTTGTTTCCCCTGAGACTTGAACCCAATACTCTTCCTTTCAAACACCAAAGAGTTGTCCACTAGACTACAAGAACCACCTCTTGTGTAGCGGGGATAAGTTACTATTTTATTTAGGACAACGCTTTAGAGTTTGAAACGAAAGGTACTGAGTTCGAGTGTCAACGAGAACACCATCACTCGATGGGGATTGCAGGTACATCCAGGCGTCAAGTCCCAAATAGGACGAGATGTGCACCTTGAATTCTACTGCTAGACATCATCCACCAAACAACATCAATGCCCAACACCCCAACATAGTCGAAACGTCCGTATACTAGGAGCCGACATGGCAACAGAAGCCGAACATTTCGTTTCGATCAATCAACATTTAGCTAACAGCTGCCTAAGATAAAATGAGCAAGTGTTGGCTCAACAAACCGAAGTTTAAAACACACAATTATGGAATAACTAAATATTTAATATATATACTAACCTTTACACAATTCTCCGAAATATCCAAGTAACTGACAGCCAGTATTAAGCGTCGTGCTGCAGTATCATCTTGTTCGATAACTTTTCGAAGAGCTGACCTGGAAAAAAGTACACAGACAAATCATCCTTCTTTACATTCAGAGTCACTACAAGATTTTCATGATTTGAGCCAAGGAAAATTTTAACAAGCTTTTAAAGTAAATTTCACGGACATATTTAACATGGACTATTAAATATAAATTCAAAAGAGATTTCTTGAGGGAACTTTTCATATCCACTTAGGCATTGTTGTCTTTAAGAAAGAGTGAGAATGGAAGAGAGTGGAATCAACGTTTTTCTTTTTTTTTTTGACAGTAAACTGTTTCACTCAAGGATACTTGACTTATTCAGCTCCTCTTGTCTGATACTACTGTGCTGCAGTATTCGTCATTTTGACCTTCAGTTATTCATTCGGTTCACTAACTCTGCTTGATTTATGTTGTCAAAGTTTTACTGGATTAACTATTACCATTTATATCCAGGAAAATTTGAAGTGCTTCCATTCGAATGTCCTTGCAATGATCTCGTTGTGTTGATTCAACAGAGAATAATATATAGTATTTTAGAAAGAAATGATATTCAAGTGTTGGTTTGTAGGGATTTGATTGGTTACAGGATTTTCATCATGAGCTGACATTAGTTAGAGAACCATTGGAAAACCTGGGAGTACTAGACAGCTGTTTCGCCCTAGTTTGGGACTCTTCAGCAGTACGCACCCACCGGGATTCGAACCCAGGACCTTCTGGTTACAAGGCGAGCTCGTAGACCATTGAGCCACTGGGACCCGATCCAATGGCCCATGAATTCTAACTTCTACCAATTCACGAAATAGCGCGACCCCTAGCCAATGTCTTCGGCGAGTATTAGTCCTCACGCCCGACCTGCTGCGCCCTACTGGTCACGACCTACTCATATTTACAAGAAGTCTTCACTCAAAATAATGAAATTAGGATTGAAATCACTAAGAAATGTTGTTATTGTAGTAAAAACACCCACTTGGTGCATAATGGACACCAAGAGATGCACCGCACAAAACCTCATAGTTTGTGCGAAGGCTCGGATACTTTCCGGACACCCAGACTGAAGCAGGTAGTTGTCTCAAAGAGTCACCCTCCAAGCTTTTGACACGAAGTCTTATCCACAAGACAATGAAGCAGCGTTCCCATGGTTGACGGTAACTAAAACAGGTCCATTCGATCCGTCCGGATTCTCAAGCCCATGTATACCATAGATTTGAAATGAGGATTTTTCAGCTCTGCTGGATAGACCAGCATGTTTACTAGTCCGGTTGAGGGACACCCACATCGCGTAAACGCAGTGAATAGGACTTATCTGGTAGAGGTAGGTTATGACCGCGTGAGAGCATTTTGAGATAAAGACCAAAGTCTGCCCACCAACCTCGGTCGTACCAGGGGTACTAAGGAGAAATGTCTGCAGAATACAAAATTAGCCCACCGAATTAATAAAAAGAGAAATAATAATTTTGTGATTCCTGATCATGTCAGCTATTAAGTCTAATGCTCCCGTTCTCAAAACAACTTTTTTCCCTTCATATTTGAAGTTTCATAAGTTAGTTTAAAGTAGTAGCTATCTGTCAGGATGAGAACGTGGAGTGTTCTGAATATACTGACTACATCTATTTAACTGTCAGTTTGATCATTTAATCTGATTTACACAAAGTGTCTCTCTCCCGTTAACGTTTCCCTAAGTGTTCATTTCGTTTTAGAAAAAACTGGTCTAGGTAGAGTGGGACGGTTGTTCTTTTGTTGAAATCATCGGGTGAACCAGAAGTGAATTCTGTCTAGGACGCTGGTCTCGACGATAATCCTGAAACTGTGATAATAAATGACCAGCCTATACTGTGTACGGTGAAGTATGGTTGTTTTTGCATTCATTGGTACATTATGACTTTTTCGGTGGAGTGTCAGATACGTTTCATAATCGATACGAGTGACAATCTATCTTCAGCTTTCTTATTCCTTTAACTATCATAAGAAAAGTGTATGACAAACGCCCGCATGAACTAGTTTATTAGAATGCCTGTGTTTGTGAAGTATACAGTTTGACATAATGCCTTTATCACTTCTTCTTTTTGTTGAACCCAGCTATCCGGGATAGATTTTTCATCTACCGGACTATGCGCCAATGGAAGGTAGGGTTTCAAGCTTGAGTTTTGAAGTTTCAAAAGCAGTGGTTTATTCTTTTTGTTTTTTACGGGAGTGGGGCTGCTAGTCTCACACCAAACCTCCCGTTTTTCCAGGTTTACCGTAGGCTATGGATTGGACTCCAGACCACAGGCATGGTTGGAGTGCGCATTCTACCGCTGAATATATACATTGTCAGGGTGGGATGCATGCCTATAGCATACAGCCAGCCTTCTGTAAACCTTACACACAACAATTCGATAGCGTAACACCCGGTATTCCCTGTAAGTACTAACCGGGACCAACGTTCCATTAACTTCGGTGGACGGACTAGAACAGGTGCTTTCACAATGTGGAATGATCGACGATAAAAACCCACTGACCAATCAAAGGTTATTTGGCCGGTCGGTGGCATAGTGGTTAGGACGCTCGCCGACCATGCACATGGTCCGGGGTTCGATCCCCGCCTGACGCACTCCTTTACCTCGCTAACCCAGACATAACGCTGGTGAAGAGGAAAAGTTGGGCATGAGGCTAGCAACCCCACCCTGTAAAATAAGCACTGCTACAGAAACTCCAAGCCACTAGCTTGAAGCCCTGTGTCCCACTGGGGAAAGTGAAGGAAATTTAAAAAAATCCAATTACACTTTTGTTAAGTTTGTAAATCTCATCGCCAATGAACATGTCACTTAAGAAAAGAAGGAAGGAATAATACAAAAATAATTATAAGATGAAAAAGAAACTCACCTTTGACAACCTTCAATTTCACGATCATAACGATAGCGTAACTCGTTTAAAACACGACTAGGTGTACAATAATCACTGAGTACTGTTGTGCATAAATCATTATAAAGTAAAGCAACAGTGCCAATTTTCCACATTATTTGCAAATAATGATTTTCAATCCATCCATACGATATAAGATTTGAAGAAATTTCAGGACAACTCAGAAATGCGCTAAAAGTTAAAGACAACTTGGCGGTAATCAAGTTATAATAATAATAATTTGCTTTATTCCAGAAACAGCACTAGTGGTACAGTGTAGAATTTTCAGCACAATATCTACAATATTTGCATCTAATGCTACAAACACCCCAAAGGAGTATTTAACGAAAAAAACAAATCTAAAGACACCAACAGCAAAAAAAAAACAGGATAAACACAAAAATAATTATAAATGCGAAAAAATACCAAGAAGTAGAAAGGAAAATAAACATCATATAATAATAACTCAGTATTGGGTAGTGGAAGCTATGATATGATTATGCATGGTGACAGTAAAGCTATAGTCATACAAGAAGTTATGAAATGATATTTAAGAATGTTTATCGCCAAGATGGTCAGTTAATTTGGTTGAAACAACTCTAAACAATCATAAAATAACATTTCAGGGTTGTTGTTTTGTTTTATATTGTCAGGTCTAATGCAGCGTTTGTAGTGGAAGTGTGAGTAATCCTGAATAATACAAAATTTTTTAAGGTGGTGACTATGGCGTTCACAACTAATGATTGTCAGTTTAATATTGCCGAAAAGTATAGAAAATAAGAAAACAACAACCACAAAACTAATAATTACATGATGGTTAATGACAGGACAATTTTGTAATACTCATAGTGCTAATAGAGTCGGAACCAGTGGATACACGATAGAAGGAATATAGTAAATTACAAAAAAGGAAGCCAATGTTAATAATTTAGGTAGCTAAGTATGTTTGAGAAGGAGTTCACTATAGAATACAAAATAAGAGAGAAATAAAAGAGCCTAAAATTATGTTGTTAATAACAAAGCAAGTCATAGGTTTCACGCTTAACATTGTCTCTGTCGCTTAGAACACGGGCCAAGTATGGTCTCGTTGAGTTCCTGTACTTGGTTGTACGAGCATAGATTATTTTATACTGATTTCTGGTTTTTCTTGATGAAAGGGAATTATAATAATAATGTTTGTTCCTATAAGCTTATCCAACGTGTTCCTCTAATCATCTCTGTCAGGGCAAGAGAAATAGAACTCGAAGGATGGAATGTATAAATTTCATCCCGAGCCTGAAATATACGTGGCATCAATGAAACAAAAATGCACATTTTTAAAATTCCATTCAGTGGAAGTTTCTCATGTTGATCGTAGTTTAAGGTAGCAACAATGGGCATAGATTATTTTTTACTGATTTCTGGTTTTACTTGATGAGTTATGAATTTATATATATACTGGATTGAGTTACGTTCGAATCAATAAAATGACTCAATATCTACACTAACAAGTCTTACAAATAATGCTGGAAATCACAGGAAGCAATAGTCTTTTGTTGATGTAATAGTACCTGAATATATTCTATTTAGAAAATTGGTTAACTCTTAAATATGTGCATATTACGAATCCATCACCCAACGACAATTGATCACTACTCAGTGCACTCATCTTCATGAGAACAAGTTTTTTGATAAATAATTAATTAGTACAAGGAGAATAACATGAAGTAGTTGATTATTTTAGGTATAACTAGTTAGTTCTACATTTAACATGTGGTATGATTATTAAAGGTGATGTAGAAAGTTTAAAAATAGGCACATTTTTTCTTGATAAGTAACGATCAGAGAAGTGCATCAGAATTCACGCGCCTAAATATTCTGGAAATTAGGACTTTCTAAATCCTTTGGAACAAAATCTCAGTACTAACCAAATGGATATTTAACGCTGAATGAACCTTTGCTTCAACGAACCGCATTCATGTTATTTTGGTTGATGGTGACTAGCAATGGAACCCAAGGATGAGCATTTCGTCCTGATTGAGACTCATCAACTGGATGCCCCTGACTGTCTAGGGTAAAACCTTACACCAAAGCGCTGCTCACCACCAGGCAATCGGGCTACGAGAACCGCTTCTTGTGTAACGTCATGTTAATCCTCACATAGCGTCAAAGCATTAGTACCAGGAGCCAACATGTCAACGAAGACTGAGCAAATTAACCAAAGAATTGAGTTTATATTTCTAAAACAGTGAATTTTAGATATTTCCTTTCAAACAAATACAAACAGAATTGCTACTTCAATTATATTCAATCTTTGGATAGTTTTAGTAGCATGAGACTTACTTTAAAATTTCTTGTTTACCAACACGTCCTAATTTATCAGGAATTAAGGTAAAATTATTATGCTTATAATCCACAGGAATAGCATCTTTAGATCCCGCATCTACGGCATACTTCATATCCCAAAGCCAGTAGAGTTTGTCTGCTGTCTGTAGAGACCATTTAATTACATCGTCTGAGCATCTCATATATTTCGGTAGATGAATTCCAGAAGTACATGGCTTTTGGTTAGCAAGGAGCGAATTCCACTTTAGGAATGATTGCTGGTTTGAAGTACTCAAAGCACTATTATTATTATTATCATTGTTTTTTCTACGTATACCCCATAGAAGTCCACATGGTCGTAATTTAGGCAAGGCAGGTACAGAAACGCAGGCATTTTCATTGGATGGAATGATTGACTGTTTATGTGCTATAAGATTCTGCTGGTCAGTTCGTGCATTTTGGCGATCCACTTCTAATCTAGTTCCATGTAATAAAATTTTTTTAAAAAGAAGTCAAAAATAAGATTATCTGGAATTAACCTGAAACGCTAAACACACGTGTGAATGTTATAAGATATGCAAGGGAAAGACAAAATCATGTGTTTTAACGAAGTAACTAGCCTGTCTACGACCAATATCTATTCTAACTAAAAGTGCCATCCTTGAATGAAAACAAACTTGACAGCCGTACATACTTTAAATAATAAAAAAACAACTTAATTCTGTGGATTTAAATGACCACGGATGTTTCAGATCTATCATCCATGTTAAGTGGGATAACATGATGAGTTATATCGAGGTCAGGCGTAGACTGTTAATTAAAGAAGGCAAGTTAATCGACGAGTTCATGAATCTACACCTATTGAGATGAACACGACCCGTGCTATGCATGGCGAACCCCCGCCCCCACGTACCTAGACAAGCAATGTTAGCTGACGTAAGATTCTGCTAGAAAAGGGTTAAAAGTGGTCAAATCAAAGCATACCATCAATCCATGAGGCTTTTTTACTGTTGACTCTAACCAGCTATGTAGGGAAGTGCAAAGTGACTGGTTGGGATCCTCAGACTGTTAGTGATAGCGATCAATGACGTAGATACATCCACTCTTTATAATCTCTCAGATTCATTACATCCTCATTTTTGTCCACATTACTACATTTTTTTCTATACACTTCGGTTCATTAAAGTTCCTTTGAATCTGTTTTTTCTCTACCTTTGTGTGCTACATGGAGTGCAGTAATTTGAACTGCTGAAATTCTGTGCAAAGCTCTTCAAGTGGAAACTCAGTCAGTCAGTTAGCCAGTTTTCCAAGTAAAGGTATAATTATTGCAACACCACAACAGAAGAGGCAATTGTATTTGTAAAAACGGATGCTTGTTATTTTAAAACTAAAACATGACTGGTTACAGGATTTCATTATGAGCTGACATTGGTTAGAGAACCATTGGAAAACCTGGGAGTGCTGGACGGCTGTTTTGTCCTAGCTTGGGACTCTTCATCAGTACGCACCCACCGGGGTTCGAACCCGGGACCTTCTGGTTACAAGCCACTGGGAACTGATCCAATGGCCAGCCCATGAATTCTAACTTCTGCCAATTCACGATAAAGCGCAACCGCTAGCCAATGTCTTCGGCGAGTATTTGTCCTCACACCCGACCTGCTGCAACCTACTGGTCACGATTCCCACTGGAACCCCAGGTAACTACCTACCTGAATAGGGTCAGTCGCCAGTGAGCCGATGAAGTGTCCCAAACTAGGACGAAACAGCTGTCCAGATGGTTTTCCAATGGTTCTCTAACCAATGTCAGCTCATGATGAATTCCTGTAACCAATCAACTAAATCCCTACAAACCAACACTTGAATATAAAAACATGACTGTTAGGATATCTACTAGAAAAGTAGTGAAAGAATGAAAAGGGAAGCTGATTCACTACAATCGTAGTAATTCATTTCTCAACAGAAATTTAAACTGATCACACTGAAACAACAAGATTAATTTTTTTTTAAGTGGTCAGTCAGAAGAAATCTACAAATGAAAGTGAATATAACACATTTTATGCTACAAGTTTTCCGAGACACCAACAACCACTGATGACATAGCACAAAATGGCCTCGATGTATACACTCCTCATTTATTTGTTTATTTAAGCGCATTTACCCGGTAGGGATTTTCGATGTACCAGGGCTAAGAGCCACATTTATCGTGTTAGGGTTGATGATACTACCCAGTCACCTAGACTGAAGTTGTAGGTGGAGCGGGACTCGAATCCACGGCCCATAGTGTTTAAGCCTAGTGAGCTACATCTCGATTTCACACTTTGTGATCTTCTACATTTTGAAAATCCAAAAAGAAGATCTGGATTTTCAACTCCAATGTGAAGTCAGTGCTACTATACGGATCAGAGACTTGGCGTCATAAAGAGCATCTCAAACAAACTACAGACCTTCATCAACAGCTGTCTTCGGTCAATACTCAAGATCAGATGGCCAGAAAAGATCAGCAACAGGGATCTCTGGGAGCGAACCAACCCAGTAGGAACCGATTGTGCAACAAATATGCAGAAGGAAATGGAGATGGATTGGCCATACTCTGAGGAAACCATCAAGTGACATCACTAGACAAGCCCTTGAGTGGAACCCGAAAGGGAAGCGGCGAGTTGGCCGTCCAAGGGTGACTTGGAGGAGGTCATGTGAAGAGGAGATAAAAACGTGTGGGCAGACATGGAGCCAGGTGAAGACTCTAGCAGAGAACCGAATGCAATGGAGACGCACGGCTGAAGCCCTATGTTCCTCTAGGAATTAAAGGATACAATAATAATAATAATCCGTCATTTAACTGCTCTTTCCCTTCTAGTTTTACAGCATTTCTTTTCTCTACCTTCACGTGTGCTTTTATGAAGTGTGTGTGTCTGTGAAACTATTGTACAAGGTTCTATAGGCTATAAATTCAATTCAATTCAATTTAGGTGAATTTCAAGCGAACGTATGTCAAAACAGTCAAAAGGAAACAAAAACATTCCAATTAAAAAAAATAAAAATAAAAGTCCTCCAATTAATTCAAAAGATAAAACTTTGATTCTGTCCAACCAGAAAATGAATATGTGTTATCCCATATGACTTATAAGGGGTAATTTCGGTCGGTCGGTTTTCGACATAGAACTTTGCACATATGTGCGGCAGTTCAAGTCGCCACACTCCATGTAGCACACAAAGCAACAGAAGAAAGTAGAAGAAATGCGTAATATAGACAGTAAACAGAGATGTGAGACAAAGGAATAGTAATAACGGAGATCAAAACAGTTTCATTGGAAATCATAAGTCACAAGGAGTGGATGCATCTGCGCCACTGAGAACGATTTTCAGCCATGTCACCAATTGTCTCCAACCATTGGTTTTTACCATCCCGACGACCCCAACCAGGAAGTCTACACCTTCCTATGTGGCTTAGACTAACTGTTGTAGATTTCATTGACTGGTGCCATGTTTTCGTTTGACCGCCGCTAGCTCTTTTCCAGCCTGACCCTATGTCAACTAACACTGCCCGTCGAGGAAGACGATGACTAGGAATACGTAGCACATGTCCTAACCATCTCAGTCGATGCAACTTCACAGCCTCGTCGATTGATTTCCCCTCCTTACCTAGCACTCGACGCCTAACCTCAATATTGCTCACCTTATTATACCACTTCACGCGGGAGATAGAACACAGACACCTATGATCAAAGACAGCTAGTCTTTTTATGTCTTCCACTCTCAATGGCCAGGTCTCACAGCCATGAAGGAGGACGGAGCGGACTGTTGAGCAGTACACACGCCCTTTGGTCGATAGTCGGATATCGTGTCTACGCCAAAGACGGCGTAAGCTGGCATATGCGAAACTAGCCCTCTGTTTTCGTGCTGAGATTTCATCGGAGATCAACCCGTTGGGGCTAATGGTAGTTCCCAAGTAAGTGAAGCGGTGTAACTTTTGTTCTAGACTAAAATGCATGCATTCTTTTTCGGTCGGTTAACTAGAATTCATTAATTCATTGTAGGAATCAGAGATTATATTTAGCGCGCTACTTTTTTCAGTGAAATTACTTTCTGCTGGCCTGTCCTAATCCAAGTTTGTGACAGATAGTCACTAACAACAGAAGCTATTTAAAACTGCAGGTATATACTTTTTTCTCTCCAAAACAAGCGTAGTCATTCAGGCGCTTACACACACATTAGGTGGAATATAACATGACAAGTAATACTGAAAAGTGAGTGTGTGTGTTTATGGAAGCGAATACATAGGTCGTACAGAAAGGCGATTGTCTACTCGCATGATGGAGCGTTTGCCAAAATGGTTGAAAACAGCTGAATGCAAAGTGAAAAAAACAACAACTCAATAACAAAACATCTTATGGACCATGGACAGAAATGATATCGACGTTGTCAAAGTCATTCACTATTGTCAGCAGACAAAGAAACAGGAAGGTGCTTGCAGCTGCAGAGGCTTGTGCAATTCGAGTTTATAAACCAGGTCTTCATGTACAAAAGGAGATGGTCGTCACTCTGAATCTACCATGGTAATACGTTTTACTTATTAACTGTTATTATTAATATTAATAACACTTTATTCTACTTCTTCTTATTATTGTTATAATTCTTGATTCCATGGAGGGTTTCATCATGAGCTGACATCAGTTAGAGAACCACTGGAAAACCAGCTGGGAGTACTGGACAGCTGTTTCGTCCTAGTTTGGGACTCTTCAGCAGTACGCGCCCAACGGGATTCGAACCCAGGACCTTCTGGTTACGAGGCGAGCTCGTAGACCATTGAGCCACTGGGACCCGATCCAATGGTCCTTGAATTCTAACTTCTGCCAATTCACGACATAGCGCGACCATTTCGCAATGTCTTCTTCGTGAGTAACTGTCCTCATCTTCGACCTGCTGTACCCTACTGGTCACGGCTTCCCACTAGAACCCCAGGTTAACTGCCTGAATAGGGCCAGTCACTAGTGAGCATCAGATTAATTTGCAAGTATTGGTTTTGTAGGGATTTGGTTTGATTGCATGGAGGGTTTCATCATGAGCTGACATCAGTTAGAGAACCACTGGAAAACCAGCTGGGAGTACTGGACAGCTGTTTCGTCCTAGTTTGGGACTCTTCAGCAGTACGCGCCCAACGGGATTCGAACCCAGGACCTTCTGGTTACGAGGCGAGCTCGTAGACCATTGAGCCACTGGGACCCGATCCAATGGTCCTTGAATTCTAACTTCTGCCAATTCACGACATAGCGCGACCATTTCGCAATGTCTTCTTCGTGAGTAACTGTCCTCATCTTCGACCTGCTGTACCCTACTGGTCACGGCTTCCCACTAGAACCCCAGGTTAACTGCCTGAATAGGGCCAGTCACTAGTGAGCATCAGATTAATTTGCAAGTATTGGTTTTGTAGGGATTTGGTTTGATTGCATGGAGGGTTTCATCATGAGCTGACATCAGTTAGAGAACCACTGGAAAACCAGCTGGGAGTACTGGACAGCTGTTTCGTCCTAGTTTGGGACTCTTCAGCAGTACGCGCCCAACGGGATTCGAACCCAGGACCTTCTGGTTACGAGGCGAGCTCGTAGACCATTGAGCCACTGGGACCTGATCCCGATCTTAAAAGTCAATCTGAACGAAGAATATTCTTTTCAATAAGTTCTCCTCTTCAGGTTCTTACAGTTATAAAATATAATATTTGTTGTCGTTACAATAATGGCCAGTCATGCGTGTGGCGGATACATTTTTCAACGTAGAATAATAGATTAGTAGTTATGGGGTGTCAAAATAAATAGTAGTATTTGTGTGACAATCACGGTGATAGGCTGAATTCGATTACAAAATATTGTAAAACGGGAGACAATGGTGATTAATCATAATAGATTTGTAGAGCGTGGGGTAGGAAAAATTGACAAGTCAGTTCAAGGTTATAAAAGGTATCAGGTGAGTGGCTAGTACAAAGTAGTGTGTATTAAAGGGGAGATAGTAAGACTGCAATGAGAGGTTCATCATGGAATAACCGATGTGTGAAATGAAACAGGTGGAGGCATACAGTGCGAAAAGAGATAATATCACTAATAATAAGTCCATATAGTATAAACGAAAAATTCGATAGTATTGAGAGAATGTTTGCATGAAGGGCATAAATTATGACGAATAATAATAATATTTGTAATAATAAGCAAAGGTAAAAAAAGAAAAAGCCAAGAGGGTTAAGGGGAAGGAGCACTCTTGGTGAGAAGGAGAATCATTAATCCAAGTTTGGCCACGGTAGGAACAGCGTCTGGACGTGTTCTTTTTGGATACAAAATTCCGGTTTAGTCGATCTTATTGCAACAGCTTCAGCTATGTGTAGAAGACGCAAGCGAACTGTACGTGATAACGACTTCAGAATTCTGTATATAACTCTGAAAGCTGTGTTGACATCGATATGATGTCCAGTATCGATTAAGTGTGACAGGATCGAGCTTTTTATGCACTTAATGTCCACCCCTGTTGAACCAAGCTGGTAAATGTTCTCGAACCCGTAGACGAACCTGCCTAATCGTGCGCCCTATATAACTTGAACCACAGGAACAGTTGAAATGGTATATGCATGAAGAAGAGCTAAGCTTAGGTAAGACATCTTTGAGTTGCTGGGTGAACATTGGACGGCTACTGAAGGATAGACAGAGACGTGCCGCATAACTGGCCTTTATTGTAACGACAACAAATATTATATTTTATAATTGTTAGAACCTGAAGAGAAATTATTGAAAAGAATATTCTTCGTTCAGATTGACTTTTAATTCATAATATGGGAATTTTCCACATTTCATCTTAACTTCAATCTCTCACACTCCCTCTACCCCTATCTATTTGAACATGACCTGGAAAACACTCGTACCTGTCTTTCTGCATGATCAATTCAATGTAGTTTATTTGTGCTTTTCAGTCTTATATCTCCGAATGTAATTTCAATAGTATATATATCCCCGTATGTGGAGTATTCACACCTGACGAGTTCTACCGAAATTTGATGAATTCATTAAATCCTGCTTTATTTACTTTTATTGCTTGTTTTAAATATTGAGAAGAGTAGAAAAACTGTCAGATTAAGGAACAAAGTCAATCAAGGAGATTGTGAATGTTCATCAACTTAGCTAGTGGTTAGGATATGCTGTCTGTCTGGATTGAACATAGGAATTGGCACTGAAGTGTAACAGTTCCAGTGGCCACGTTCCAAATACCACACAAAGGTAGACAAGAAAATGAGTGAAGAGAATCAATAGAGTTTTGACAAGTATAAGAGTGAAACAGAATGAGTAATGGTAGAAAGGAATATGAAAGATTACAGAGATTGGATACATCTGCGTAAGCCATTGACAACGATTTTGAGCCATGTCACCTATTGTCTCCAGCCATTGATTCTTAGAGTCCCAAGGGCCCCAACCCGGAAGTCTGCATCTCCCTACCTGACTCAGTTTAACTGTCAAGGGGATTTCATGGATTGATGCCATGCTTTTGTTTGGCCACCACTTACTCTTTTCCAACCTGCACCTATATCAGCTAGTAATGCCCGTTGGGGGAGGCGATGGTTAGGCATGCGCAGCACGTGATATGAGCTGTAGACGTGGGCCACACTGTTCCTTGACAAATGAATTTGACAATGCTAGATTTAGATTTGACTGTTTTTAACATAGAAATCCGCACAGAAGTGCAGCAGCCCAAGTTACCACACTCTGTGTAGCACACAGAGGAAGACAAACGAAAGAAACGAAACAAGAAATTCAAAGGAAAGATTATAAGCAGAAATGTGAGGAAGAAAGAATAGTAACACATGGAAAAACAACAGGGTTTGATGAATATGGATGATCAAACAGAGTAAATGTGCCGGAGCCATTCAGAAAGAATAAGAGCCATGATCGCCAAGTGTCTCCAGCAATTGGTTTTTAGAATCCGGGATCCCCATCCAGGAAGCCTACACCTCCCTACGTGGCTCAAACTGTGAATGATTTCATGAATTCATTTTAAGTTTTAATTTCACCGCCATTAGCTGTTTTACAACTTGATTTTATATCAGCTAACATTGCTCATCAAGAAAGGCAATGGTTAAGCACGCCTAACACATGTCTCAGCCATCATTGATTTACTTTCCCTCTTTAACCAACACTCGACGCCTAACCTCAATATTACTCACCCTATTGTGCCACCTTACATGAGAGACGGAACGCAGGCACCTATGGTCAAAGACAGCCAGCTTTTTCATGTCTTCTAGTTTTAATGGCCATGTCTCACAGTCATAAAGGAGGAGGATGGAGTGAACTTCTGAGCGGTAAATACTTTCTTTGATCGGTAGTCAGCCGGATATCACGTCTATTAAGCTAGAGATGGCGTAATTTGGAAAATGACACACATGCGTTTTGTATCCGTGCTGAGATTTCGTCGTCAATCAGTCCGTTGGGGCTGATGTAACTTCTCAAAATAAGTGAAGTGGTCAGCCCCCTTCACTACTTCACTTTAGCTAGGAGTTGGTGTGTTCCAGTCCTGTAGCGTCATCTTACATTCGACAGGAGCAAATCTCATGACAAACATTCGAAGATTTATGGTCAAAATGTTCTGAAGTCTCAGCGTTCTCATCCAGGAGGACGATATCATCCACATATTTTGAGTCAACAAGACTCTACCCTACTAAAATGTCAATCCCTAAGTCACTGAAGTAAGTCGGTTAGGGTTAGTTCCATTAATTCATCTATGACAAAAACACAGAGAAATGGTGAGGTTTAGATTTGAAAAGAAATAGAGTCTGTAAGTTGAAATAATAATCCATTGAGCCAATAACTATTATCTCAGACTTCCTTAGAAGTGAAAAACTGCTATGTTGAGGTTATCAGGATGAAAAGAATCAATGGATAGAGACTCTTGATGACACAGATTCAATCACCCACTATCAATCAAATTAGGACTTTGGATATTACTACCTTTTACTAAATTATTGTCTTATTACACATGTTTCTCTGTTTCCGTTCTCGTTATGTCAGCTACTTCGAAGTGTATTAACTTGAACTGAGACACTTCTGATTTGTACGCTTGTCTGAAGAAGAGACTTGCCATAAATACCTCTCATTACTTCGTACAGATCAAATACTAGACACTGGTTAATGCATCAGGCTATTAGTCACGAAAATATACAGTGGATAATAATTATAATGAGTGTCAAAATAGGGTCAATAACATTCGAACCTGTGACGCATTAAATGATATTTGAGAGCCCAGATTACTGACCCGTAGACCCTAAAACACCAGAAATAACAACTATAACAGGTAGTGATGTGAGGATATGTTAGCTTTACTACTGTGTAGACTTCACCTACAGAATACGCCTTGAATGAAATTAAATGTTATCACAACAAAATGCAAGCTTAGCGAACAATAACTACATCAGAATGGCGAAACGAATTACTGGATGCTATATTCCAATCAGTAAAACCACTCGCATTATATACACATGCTACAAAGGCATCTACAGCTTAACAGAAAACAATCATAACAAAGCTAAAAAGTGGTAAACTCGATACTTACTCCATATCTATTTCGATTATTTGTGACCCATCCTTTGATAGTTCACATGAAATGTCGAATTGAGTGTCAAAGTAACATCCATCCAACAAATCAATTTCATGGGTAGACAATGCCGAAGAAGCAGTTCCTTCAGCAACAACATGTTCATCTTTATTTACACCGGTAGACACAGTGTTCTCAGTATTACATTGATGAACAATGTTCGACTTCGAACAACTTCCCGTATTTTTCTTATCGTCTGAAATCACGAACGGATCCATGTGCAACTGCGCCAAATTCTCCGACGATGCATTCGATGAAGAGACTGAATCTCCCTTACCAGTCTTGAAACCAGTGAAACAACTATCACGAACATCAGAATTCTTACCACCTCCCACAACAACTCCATCATCTACAACATCCAACGCATCAACAAGTGACTGGGCAATCTTCCGTGATGATGCACTCGACAAGGACACTGAATCTCCCTTACCAGTCTTGAAACCAGTGAAACAACTATCACGAACATCAGAATTCTTACCACCTCCCACAACAACTCCATCATCTACAACATCCAACGCATCAACAAGTGACTGGGCAGTCTTCCGTGATGATGCACTCGACAAGGACACTGAATCTCCCTTACCAGTCTTGAAACCAGTGAAACAACTATCACGAACATCAGAATTCTTACCACCTCCCACAACAACTCCATCATCTACAACATCCAACGCATCAACAAGTGACTGGGCAATCTTCCGTGATGATGCACTCGATAAGGACACTGAATCTCCCTTACCAGTCTTGAAACCAGTGAAACAACTATCACGAACATCAGAATTCTTACCACCTCCCACAACAACTCCATCATCTACAACATCCAACGCATCAACAAGTGACTGGGCAATCTTCCGTGATGATGCACTCGATAAGGACACTGAATCTCCCTTACCAGTCTTGAAACCAGTGAAACAACTATCACGAACATCAGAATTCTTACCACCTCCCACAACAACTCCATCATCTACAACATCCAACGCATCAACAAGTGACTGGGCAGTCTTCCGTGATGATGCACTCGACAAGGACACTGAATCTCCCTTACCAGTCTTGAAACCAGTGAAACAACTATCACGAACATCAGAATTCTTACCACCTCCCACAACAACTCCATCATCTACAACATCCAACGCATCAACAAGTGACTGAGCAATCTTCCGTGATGATGCACTCGACAAAGACACTGAATCTCCCTTACCAGTCTTGAAACCAGTGAAACAACTATCACGAACATCAGAATTCTTACCACCTCCCACAACAACTCCATCATCTACAACATCCAACGCATCAACAAGTGACTGGGCAATCTTCCGTGATGATGCACTCGACAAGGACACTGAATCTCCCTTACCAGTCTTGAAACCAGTGAAACAACTATCACGAACATCAGAATTCTTACCACCTCCCACAACAACTCCATCATCTACAACATCCAACGCATCAACAAGTGACTGGGCAGTCTTCCGTGATGATGCACTCGACAAGGACACTGAATCTCCCTTACCAGTCTTGAAGCCGGTAAAATATGGATTTGTATTCGGTGTACGGTCGAAGTTATCGAATGTAGTACCATATTCGACTCCTTGAATTGTTGATGTAGATTGTTCGGATGTTTCAATGCCGATCATTTGTTTTTTCGTGAAAACATCGGTAGGATTGTCTTCCAAATTTGTTGAAACATTCTTGGAAACAGAATCTACCACTAGTTTACTTAAATAAGAAGAACCATCTAAGTTACTTAGCAATGATTCGCATTCCTTTAAGTCCTTCTTAATGGGTGATTGGGCTGAGCTTTCTCCAGGGACCTTAAAACTAATTGGGGTTTTGAATTCATTTGGAATGTTCGTCAAGTCGGAGAGAAGTGAAGTATTTTCAGTAACCATCAATGGCTGTGACAAATCTGAAATTGTTTGGTCAGCAATCAAAAGTGACGTAGAACTTTTGTAAATATTCATTTCAGATACATTCATGATTTGAGTCAGATCCAAACTGGTGAAGCTATCATCGAAGTCTGGACTACGGGCATCCCTAGCTTGATTTGATGACTTGGGAACTGACATATTTGGCGCACCAGGCTGTTCAGTCTTAATCTCATCTTCTGAAGGGTAAACAAACTTAATCTTTTTTGGGTTCTTCGATAGTTTTATCGCTATGTCCGGCGTTTCGATAATCTCAGGGCTGGTACAAAGACTCTGAAAAATAAACATGACCGAAAAAGGAACTTACATTTGATGTTCCAGTCGCCAAATCTGTGATATTACACTTCTCGTTTTCACAACTGAAGAGAGGTCTAGCTAAGTTGGTACCTTGAAAGCATAACGTGAAAATGTATAATGTATTACTTTTCGCTTCGAATTCATCTATCAGACTTTCGATGTCAATACTACCGGCATTTCGACAAGCATCTGACACAAAATTAGTCAGAGAAGATAAAAAATTATCCATTGGATTGGTAACTATTGACACCAATTTAGTCACTGAACAGGTGCCTACAAGCAAACAGACTTTAAATGAGCACAAAATGAAGAGACATTTAGTTGACTAATTGATAAACATGAAATCTTATAAGAATAAGAGCACCTGCTGACGCGATTAACCAGAAAATTCAGCAGCTCGGAACAACTCAAAGTATTGTTAGCAAGGACTTTTATCTGTTATTATCTATTATTCCATTGGGTTTCTAGTGGTACGTAGGGTTCCAGAGAATTTCGATGTAAGAAGTATCAATAAGACGTTATGATCCAATTAGTTGTGATTCAAACACCAGATTAAAGAAACAGTTAGTTTTAATTCTTAGCAAAGTTTCCCAAAAACACCTGTTCTAATCTGCGTATGTATCCAAAAGTTTACAAAAATAGTGAGAGGAGACATTTTGCGAATCCATTACCAAAGCGTTAGATCACCAACATATTTAAGTTTCATACTGCACTACATTGTCCTAAATGGCTCCAGAAACAAATGGAATCTTCAGAACCCATTAATGGTGAGAACAGGAGACCTAGCTCCTCTATAGCGAAACATATTATAGAAACAGGACATAAAATTGACGTTAAGAGATCTTTTAAACCTATCTATAAAACGTGTTTGGGGCGTATCCTAAAATTTGTGGAAGCCCTAGCAGTTAGAAAGTTTAAGCCACCTTTATGCGTTCAAAAACAATTTGTCATCACATTAAACCTTCCTTGGTAAATTTTGTTTTGATACCATAGCAGATGTACTATTACCTCTGTTATTTGGTTTAGTGGTCTTCATTGTTACTTTGACCTTGAATATGTCCTTTAAACTTGGCCTAAGTCTATTTTCTTACCTCTTACCTTTTTATTAATTTCATATATATTCCTATGACAAGTCCGTGTGTGATCAGATTGTTCGAAATGTGTTGCGCAAATACATCACACGATTCAGACAAATTACGTCTTCTTATTGCTTTATCTAAATTCATAAAGGGAACTAATTGTTTTAAACATATAAAACATGCCAGAAAATATCGAATTTTTGATAAAGTAAAAACCCTTGAACTACATATTTTGCTTTTGTTAAAATTCGGTTTAAAATAATAGTCAACATCCTTTAATTCAACATCTAAAGTAACCACGCGATACCATTAACCTGACCACAGTGTTAAACGATGCCAGGAGTATTTAGAAAGCAATTACGAAAATCACACTGAACAGTACATCATAACATTTTCATCCTTAGTTTTATTATTCTGCACAACTAAAATACAAAAACATGATTTCTGTTGGCTGATTAAGTGAAACTATCCAATATTCCTAGCAAATTTGGTGCGATTATCAGATTGTTATTATGGAAAAACTGAATTCTATTCTGCCTTATGTTTGACAGAAACCCTAATCATGCATTTTTGTCATTCCTGTAAGTTTTGTGGAGAAAACAGGGCTTTACCTGTGAGTTTAGAAGTTTCATTAACGGTGGTGTCTTCCAACAGGATGGGATTTCTAGCATCATGCACAACCTTCCCTCCCCAAATCACGTGCAGACTTATTTCACACAAACTTCTCAGTAAAAGACCTTGAAAGGTGACGAAACGAATGTGAGCTAACTGGAGTACACTATAACTAGTGTGACCTTTAACAAGACTTTACTCCAACTTCCCTTATGCTCCATTTATCTACTAGAGATTTCTAGCCTCACCACTAGTAATTAACGACAAACATTATCGACAGAGATACGAAAGAAAAGATTTTGCTTTCGAATGTGGACAAATATTCTGTCAAGTAATTAGCACTTAAGTTGCATTGCTATGCTGCTTTATTAAATAATCATACAAAATAATATAAATACATATCTTTTTGTTCATTTACTCATCTCACATATGTTCATAATTAATAGTAAAACCAAGAGCCCAAGTAGGAAAATTGGGGATATAATGAGGGCAGTGATGTTAATCTTTGAAGGAAATGCTGGATTATTTAAATTCGAATGTATTCGTAAGGTGGGCAGTAGGGTTTAGAAAGTCCAGGGCCTATAAAGTAGGAAAAATCACAACAGCTTCAAACAGAGACACTAAAAAATGAGACTCCTCAACAAACTAAAGTTACGTTGAACAATTATCAATACTACCCAAGCTTACAACAATTCTAAACTTATTCTAACCTATGCGTTGATAATGCCTTTTTATGGTAAATGAAAATTTTTTCTACCCACTATGTTCTTAAATAACGCCGGTCGTGCTTAAAAAGAGAGCTGGGTGCTGAATTAATGCGACAAAATCTGAAAAGGCTAGAATTAAGCTGAAAAAATTGCCACTATGTGCTGAATTAGGTCTTTTCGTTCTGAAGTAATGCTAGTCAGTTCTGAATATGTGCTGAGAAGGCTAGAATTAAGCTGAAAAAATTGCCACTATGTGCTGAATTAGGTCTTTTCGTTCTGAAGTAATGCTAGTCAGTTCTGAATATGTGCTGAGAAGGCTAGAATTAAGCTAAAAAAATTGCCACTATGTGCTGAATTAGGTCTTTTCGTTCTGAAGTAATGCTAGTCAGAGCTTAATATGTCCTGTAATGGCTGGAACAACGCTGATAAGGAAACCCAGTATGTTCTGATCTACTCGTGAAAATGCCTAGAAAAAGAACACGGTGCTGAATTAGTTCTAGTCATGCTGAAAACCAGCACTGAGTTCTAGTCTGTGCCGTTAAACAAACCATTTCAGAACAGATTCAGAATTTACTCACTATAGGATGCAAGAATTATTTCAGTATTACTGAGATTTAATTCAGCATTATTGTAAGCTTGGGTAACTCACTCCACTACGACAATAATTTCCCGAAAACTTCGATTAGTAGTGACACGTAACCCCACCATAAAATAGAAAAATCCGACATAATCTCATCTTAAGTTTAATTTTTAATCACGTATTCTACAGGAGGTTGTAGGTACTCAGACTAGTTAAGGGAGAATTCCCACGAGAAACCAAAAGGTGCGCAATGACCCCAAGGCTGGCAAGCTGAGACCTTGACTCGACCTTTTTATATCTTTGAAACGCATTCAAACAACGAAAAAAAGGTGCCTATTGATCATTATCTCGAAACCACTAATTAACAGTTTCCATGTCTCCCATTTGGGATTGAGAAATAATCGAAGATGAAATTTCCCCTAGCACTAGTCTGGTGAGAAAGTGGAATGAACATTAACATTAAATGTTAAAGGATGAGGTATAAGCAGGATAACGCAAACATTGTTCTTGAAGGAAAGGAAGAAGGTTATAAAATGCGAGCATATACGGTGTGTTGTCAAACAACACAACTGCAATCCATACCCTATCCATCATCAATCGATGTGTTATTCAAATTCGTTGCTTACATTTCCTTGTAGCATGTATTATGTGTTTGAATTTGTAGCGGTAAATAATTCCCCAAAATTATTAACCACAGCAATCATCACTCAACATTGGATGCTGACCATCACTGTTTAAGTCGACTTGTTTAGCTGAAGGCTTACGGTCAAGCATCCCCGCCATTTGGTGCTCCGTCGTGTCACGTGCGTGCACGATTACTAGCTAGCTAAGCATTCATTCCTACTCGCGATTTGGTCCCAAAATATATATCGTATTTGGACGACAAAATCTGGTCTTTTGCTTTACCATATGGTACTCGAAGAACGAACACTATAGTGGTTGTTGGTATAAGATCTTGCGTTAGTATAATCCGTACAACTCGCGAACACTCGATACCTACAGCTCCCGTAAACTGGTGAGCCCAACCTCGAACTTCATCGTCAATTCACACGCAGATAAACCCGGTGAGTTCGTTCCTTTTTGTGTTTATTCTTGTACTATATTGTTATCGGCATACTTTTCGTCATGAGTGATCCTAGCCCCAAGGTTATTCAGATTCGCTCAGCCGCCAAAACAATCCAGCTAGTACCATATTGGCCCGATAATGCTGAAACGTGGTTTCAGATTGCTGAGTCTGATTTTTGTGAACATGGCATAACTGATCAACGTTCACAGTTCCTTGCAGTTATTCACGCCCTACCGCGGGAATTCAGCAGGTGCGTAACTCTGCAGATGTCGGTAAGTAACTCGTACGAGTTGCTCAAAGGATCCATCCTTAAGAGAAATGTTCTCACAGATCGACAACGTCTGGATGAGTTATTTCGTAACATCGAGTTAGGAGATCAGTCAGCCGTGAGCATGCTGGCAAGAATGAAAGAGATCATTGGCCAAAGTCAGTTCGATGAAGGACTGTTTAGAGAACTATTTTTATCCAAACTGCCACAGTCAGTTCAGACTGTACTTGTGACACTTCAGGGTGTTCTCATAGATGATTTAGCTGTCTCTGCAGATAGAATTCTAGAGATAACGAAACGGCCAGTCACCGAAGTATACTCTGTTACCGAACAGACTTCGAAGAAGGATTCTGCAATGATAGAGTTAATCAACTCCGTCCAGCAGATGCTTAGGTCAAACAAGCCTAGCAATTCCTCCTATCGTCGTCCTAAATCCCCTCAATGGCAAAGTGCACGTGGACGATCTAAGTCCAACACACGCTCTCTCAAAAATCCTGACTGGTGTTGGTATCACAACACCTATGGCAAGGAAGCGAAATGTTGTCGAAAACCTTGTGATTTCGGCAAAACCTCCAAGTCTGTGGGAAACTATCCCGCCGGCACGCGTTAGCGGCAACCGTCGCCGGTGGCACTAGCCGCTTACTTTACATCCATGATGTAATTAGCCAGACTAGATATCTAGTCGACACAGGCGCCGAAGTCAGCGTCCTTCCTGCTACAGCAGCAGATCGACAGAAGGATCCTAACTTCAACCTACAGGCTGCAAATGGAAAACCAATTGCAACCTATGGTCGGAAATATGTCTATCTGAACGTAGGTTTACGCAAACCTATTCAGTGGATTTTCCTAATCGCTGACGTCACAATGCCCATCATTGGCACGGACCTACTTAATCATCATGATTTGCTCGTAGACGTCCGCCGTAAACGATTAATTGACAACACTACTAGTTTGTCTATCAAAGGCATAACTTACGTAGGCCCCAGCTTGTCAATCGTTAAGATGAAAGCAATCCTCGATCCAACTTTTCAACCGATTGTTGACAAATATCCGGAACTCAATTGCCCATCTAACGATCTCCCGTGCATAACCAGCAATGTTATGCACCACATCATAACCTCAGGACAGCCCGTGACATCTAAAGCACGACGACTGGCCCCTGATAAACTGAGAATTGCCAGAAACGAATTCGATCATATGCTCACCCTTGGCATCATTCGACCATCGAATAGTCCATGGGCATCCCCGTTGCATATGGTACCGAAAAAGGATAGCAACGATTGGCGACCCACTGGTGATTACCGGCGAGTGAACGCCAAAACAACTCCTGATTGCTACCCTTTGCCTCACATACACGACTTGACGGCAACGTTATCTGGAGCATCTATATTCTCCAAAATCGACTTGGTTAAAGCATATAACCGAATCCCGATGGCAACGGAAGATATTCCGAAAACGGCTATCATCACGCCTTTCGGACTTTTCGAATTCCTACGTATGCCATTCGGCCTCCGGAATGCGGCACAAACATTCCAACGCTTCATCAACGAAGTACTTCGCGGTCTCGACTTTGTATACGCATACTTAGACGACTGCCTCATTGCCAGTCCAGATAAGGAAACTCACCTTAGACACTTGGACTTGGCATTTGAAAGGTTACGCCAACATGGTGTTACCATCAATATACAGAAGTGTCAGATAGGTGTTGACTCACTCGATTTTCTGGGTCACACTATTGACTGTCAGGGCATACGCCCACTGGCTACCAAAGTCGAAGCAATACTGAACTTTCCGGGGCCAAAGACAGTAAAATGCCTTCGCACTTTTAACGGTTTGGTAAGTTATTACCGACGTTTTATTCCTAATTGTGCTTCGCTAATTCAGCCATTAACCGATCTCCTTCGAGGGAACAACAAGGCTATCGAACTCGACACGTCTGCTCGGCATGCTTTTACTCAGGTAAAGAAAGCTATTGCAGATGCCACCCTTCTTATGTATCAGGATCCAACGGCACCGTTGAGTATCTCGGTTGATGCATCAGACACTGCAATCGGCGCAGTTCTGCAACAACTAGTTAACAACGAGTGGCAACCACTCGCCTTTTTCTCGAGGCGCCTTCAAGTAGCTGAAACGAAGTACAGCACATTCGGAAGGGAACTTCTAGCTATGTACTGTGCTATACGTCATTTTCGACATTCAGTTGAGGGTCGTGAATTCACCATTTTCACTGACCACAAACCTCTGACGTACTCTCTGAACTCAACTTCAGATAAGTATTCACCCAGGGAATCGCGACAACTAGATTACGTTTCACAGTTTACATCAGATATTCGCCATGTTTCCGGAGTGAACAACACTGTGGCAGATGCTTTGTCACGTATTTGTTCTTTCACCCAAATCAACGGCATAGACCTTGTAAAACTGGCTCGTCTTCAAAAAGAAGATATTGAGCTTCAGCGTGAGTTGTCGAAAACAACTCTACAATTAGCCGAGAAACCCTTAGGTATAGGAAAGGATACTATTCTGTGTGACATTTCCACTAGTACTCCTCGCCCTATCGTGCCTAAAAGTTATCGTCGTAACGTCTTCAATACGTTGCATGGCTTATCCCATCCAGGTATTTGAACTACCGTCAAGCTCGTAACTAGTCGGTTTTGTTGGCCTGGTATTAACAAGGAAGTAAGGGAATGGGCACAGACGTGCTTAGCTTGCCAAAAGTGCAAGGTAATAAGACACACTAAAAGCCCCCTTGGCACTTTTCTTATCCCTGATGCCCGTTTCGAACACGTCCATGTAGATTTAGTTGGCCCCCTTCCAGAATCTCATGGATACACCTATATGTTAACCTGCATCGATCGCTTCACACGATGGCCTGAAGCAGTACCCATCAAGGATATATCTGCTGAAACTGTCGCACGCGTCTTTGTAGAGAGATGGATCGCAAACTTTGGATGCCCATCTTCCATAACAACTGATCGTGGGCGGCAATTCGAAAGCGGTTTATTCTTCGCTTTGACTAAAATCCTTGGTTGTATGCGTTTTCGAACAACAGCCTACCATCCTCAAGCGAATGGTATGGTAGAACGTCTACACAGACAGTTGAAAGCTGGTTTATCAGCTGCAAATAGCACCCATTGGACTGAATCCCTTCCGTTAGTTCTCCTAGGGATACGAAACGCCTTAAAAACCGATGCTGGTTGTACTACCTCTGAGCTAGTATATGGCACAACACTACGACTGCCAGGTGAGTTTGTTTCTCCCTCGAGCTTCCCACCAGTGGTAGATCACTCCTCATACGTCAGCAGGCTTACAAACGCTATGCGTTCAGTTAAACCTGCTCCCCTCCGACCACAGTCCATTGATGTTTTCGTTCACCCTTGTTTAAAAACTTCCTCACATGTATTTGTTCGTCGCGACTCGGTACGTCGTCCTCTAGAACCCCCATATGACGAACCATATAAAGTGATTAAACGTACTGATAAATTCTTCGTTTTAGACAAAAAAGGCCGCGAAGACACCGTCAGTATCGACCGTCTGAAACCAGCTTACTTGGAAGGTAATCCCATTAGCCTGGAGCTAAACGTACCCGATAATTCACAAGTAATTGAATCTACTTCAGTCTTCGAAGAACTCCCTAGCACGGCGAAAGCCACCGAACCTTCGGTCGATCACTCTAAAAAAACGCGTTCTGGACGTCACGTTAGATTCCCAGAATACCTTCACACCTATCTCACATAACTGAGTGACACATCAATTTTTTTTTATGTTGCGTCATTTAACACAAGTAAATGATATTTTTCCTATAACCGTACATAAAATTATATAAGATGTATATT